TGTATTCAAGTTACTGTATTTATGAAGCGCATTTAAATGTATTTTAAAAAAATGAATATATTTGAACAAAAATTAGTGTCATGTCATTAACCAAGGTACTGCAATTTGCGTCACAAAACCACCACCAATTTAATCTGGAACATGACACCATTCAACATGCCAGGTCACAGAGTAAAAAGCTTCAAAGATCTGAGCCTCATACCTCAGGTAGCAGGTATTTCCTAAGCAGATTAACAACAACAGCTCCTGATGGGAGAGCCTCATTGGGATCGCTGCATAACTCTGTGGAACCGATGCGAAAATCCAGCTTCATCTTCTCCATTCCATTAAAGATGAAGAGGACATCCTTAGCCTTGTCATTATCTCCACTAAGATAAGGTGTCTTGCGAAGGTGCATGTATTTCCTGCCCACAAGGTCTCGGAGGGATGTTGGTTTGGATAAATGGGAAAGATCCTCACAGGAGAAGGGCAACACAAGTTTGAACTGGGAGAAAACAGATCCAGCACACCAATCCAGCATCAGTTTACGGACGACAGTACTTTTCCCCGTGCCGACAGCCCCATGGAGCAAAACATTTAGTCCTCGTGCCTTGTTTCCATTATTGTTAGCATCAAAGAGCTGCTCAACTGTGAGAGAGGGACGTGTAGATATGCCTGTCTTTTCCTTGAAGGGATTAAGACCTCTGTCCTCATCTGGATGACGCTCTAAGATAAGTGGCTCCACATGCATAGTTTCAGAAGAAAAGTAGCCACCGAATTGCCTCTCCTCTTGAGGAAGGTGACTGAACCATAATGTCAGCTTGTGTTTGTGGATCTCAATGGGATCTGCGGGTTAATTATAATACAAACATGAAAGACACTGCTATTTTACGAGCTGAATTTTGATGGATTAAGAGGGAACTTAATCTTCTAAATCACTAACATGGAGTAATATGCCATCGAAATGTAAATGATTTATGCATAAACTCACCTGTGACGGGTTCATACGTACAAAAGAACCTAGGGTTGAATCCAGAGATGGAATAGCACATAGATGTTCTCAGTTCTCTCCATGTATTTCTATAAGAGCTTGTTGTCTTGCTGATGAGACAAAACACAAGTAACATCAAAACATATTCACTGAAAACACATGAAACTGAAAACATTATACTTACGTTGGAAATGAGATGTGATGCCGATTTACGCTACCACAGATGTCAACTGATCGGAGGTTTAAGTTAAAGGCTGAAATAAACAATTGTTATTTCTTTAATTATACAAACCAAAAAAACTAATTCTCAGTATTATTTTTAAAAGACATTATTCAGCAAAGACTAAAAAAAATTAATCAAAGAATCACAGCTTCCATAGAAATATTAAGCTGCCCAACTGTTTTCAACATTGCTAATAATAAGAAACGTTTCTTAGGCACCAAATCAGCATATTAGAATGATTTCTGAAAGATCATGTGACACTGAAGACTGGAGTAATGACTGCCGAAAATTTAGCTTTGCCATCACAGGAATAAATTACATTTTAAAATATATTACAATAGGAAGTTATTTTAAATTGTAATAATATTTTACAATATTACAGTTTGTACTGTATTTTTGATATAATAAATGTAGCCTTGGTGAGCATAAAAATCCTAATTTTACCAAAATTTTGTACACGGTAGACTGCATACATATATTATTTTTTAGATAAATAAATAAAAATAAACCTAACATTTGATTAATGGATATTTTAAATATATATTTAAACACCTACTTTTCTGAAGAGCCCTGGTGTGAAGTTTGCAGCAGACATCTCTTGGTGACCCTTGGCATCTCCATCTTAACACTTCTGTTCCTGATGGCCTCCCAAATCGCCACATTTCGACTTTAAAATAACCCCTAAAGGATGATATGTTTTGTCATAGAGACTTAAAAGGTTAGACAGGTCTGGAAATTGTGTTGAACAGGTAAACAAATGCTACGATCAACACAGTAACGTAAATGCACCTGACAAAATCAAGCCAAACCTTGTAAGGTCCCTCCTTTGGCTTTGTGTTTCAATGATACATGACACTTAGGCTACACAGTTACATGATACACGTTCATTTAACAACACACCCAAAGTGTTAATTTTGGTAATGTCCATTATCTAAAGAAACTGCATGATGCATCACTAAGTGTGACCAATGTGCTATTTAAGATAGTTTCTAACTCAAATCCAGACAGGAAGAATACATATATTTAAAAAACAATTCTTTACATATGCAAGATTAGCTGAAATTCATCAGTCAAGTTAATATTGATGATTAATCAAGAAGGTCAAGTGATTGGTCTTCATCTGCGTTTAACACAACAAAAAATGTTTTCCCTCTTGCGAATGTGACGATGACTATGAGCAAGACACTATGAAGGTGTGACCTGTCACCACACCTGTACCTAAACCAACACTGGAAACTCATTTTCATTAAGTACAACATAATTCATCCAGCGACCAGTTAGACCAGTGGCTGTCAACTTCTGTTGTAATAAAAAATAAATAAACTCAAAAATGTGACATCAGTTGAATGTTGTACATCTTTATTTTAAGTGTTTTTAAAGCATTTTAATTAAGATTATGTTAATACAACTAAATTTCAATAATATTAAGATTTATTGGGGCCCCTTTTTAAAGTCACAAGCTTAAAGAAAGCTTAGCTGATACCATAAAGTGCTGTAAATACAACTATAGCCCTTTAAACCTATTTACTACTGTAGGTTTTCTCTTTTAAAATAAAACAACTACTGTATATTAAGGTATATTGCTTTTCCGCGTACTGTGTTCAATCACCACGTCAACCATTTAGTACAGCTGCCACTCTCTAAAAATAGTACAGTAGATTCAAAACTCATTACAAGCATGTCATTTGGTTTTGTTTTGTTTTTCATCTGACTTGAATAGCTCTTGCTCGCAATTTCCTTGTCTATAAAAAATTCCATATCTATATGCAATTTTTTTTACATATACAGGTCAAGCAGTTTGTCTATAAATGTGAACGTGCCTGACATGCATACTCAAGCGTAAATGAAAGATTCCATATAGTTCTGTTCTGGAATTCGACGCAAACTCAGCTCTTATGGTTTAGGAAAGGGTCATGACGTGCGTTTAATTTCAATATATATAAACAACCGTTAGGTCACTGAATCAGAGCAACATAGCGACTACTCTTATTCACATGAGAAACCAGACGTAACGATTAAGATGCTGGTAATGGCTGTAGATCTTTACCTAATCTAGAGGCTCTATATAAGGTGAATTCTTCATTGACTTTCCCAGGACTCTACCAGCGTTCTGACATTCGGATCACAGCCGAGGAAAGCGTCCATTCTGCGGTAGGATGATGAGAGCGTACCGCTCCGTGCCCCCATCTTCCTGCTAGTCAGTCGTAGTACCGCCCACATACACAAATTTCAACTTTGCTCTTCTTTTTTACGACGCGAAAGCCACATGACTAAATAAAAGCTATAAAATAGACATCGTGAAGTCTCATATGCTGCTTTAGCATTGATGTATTTGCACAGTGACTTTGTAAAGTTATCCTACCAGCAGCTTTAAATCTACAAAAGACAAGCTTTCTTCTGTGCTGCTTAGGTTTTAAGTCTGAAACTGCCATCAGTTAATATGGTGTATTCAGACAGCAAAATCATTCTGCATTTCACAATTTTATAGGCCCACCGTTAATTTAATTTACACAATTTTACTTAATGCCGGATACAAGCTGTTTTACTTTGGACTGCCCTGATCAAACTGACTCACCTAGTTTTCAGTATCAAGTCCAACAAGTTCTATATATGGAGCTGTATAGGGGTTCCTGGAGGATGATGAATGCTTCAACCACTGTAAGCTCTTTGCAGCTCCAAGGGATTCTGGGTTATTCAAAATAATTCTTAGAAAGGTTCTTTGATGAAGCATACAGGTGCTTTAGTTTCTTTTGCACATGCTATTCTTCAGGTTTAGTTCAGTGAGTCAGAATTAGTCAATGTAAAAAAAAAAATTGTCTAAAAGGTACTGCCTGATGGCTTCATTGTTATTTATTGTAAGGGGGAAAATAAATTATAAAGCATTTTTTTTATTGTTCTATGTCCTTATATGAACCACTATGAATACTACACTCAAGAAGATTGCAGTTGCAACTGCACTTCTGATGGATTTCATAATTTTATTTCTAAACACTATAGGTACGTTTGGCAGTAAGACATGTTTAAGCAATACACTGCTGATATACATAGTATGAAAGTTTGTTGGTCTAAAAAATTATAACTTTGTTTTAATACATACATTTTAGCACCAGGTAGTTACATAAAATCTCTAGGCAAAAATACTAAATAATCAAAAAAGAAAGAAAACTAATAAAATCTACTATACAAAAAGACTGATACAGTGGTTTAATAGAAACACAGGCACTTTGTGAACCTTCACAGTCTTCTGGTTTGAATTAAAACCCTTTTCGGACTTGTGCAATATGTAAACATCCTCATCTCAGGCTAAGCATGTTCATGATGAGCTTTCTGAAACTGGAAATGCAAAAATCTTCATTCTAATTTGCTCTGAGTATAAAAAAAAATACATCAGTGTTAGTGTAAGCTTAAAGTCAGAGTTAAACGAGTTTGAAAACTGCCATAATGAATAGATAAAGATCAGTAAATTATCATTTGCATATTTAAATTTGGCATCATATCTTGAATTTGGATATACAGTAGCAGCCTTGCATAACACCAAATTTTTCCAACACCTGGTACTGCATCAATGTAACACTGAACAACATGAAAGTATTTACTAAAATTTTTAAAGCCAATTCTATAGACAATGACATTTGGTTAACTTAATCCAAATGAAAAACAAAAACCATAGCACGAAAATGATCATCAAATAAATCTAGCCTTCCTGAGCAGATAATGACACCTTTGGAAATTATAGTGTATACATTTTAGTGTAGCCTGAAAACAGGCCACTGGAGCTGCAGACCATTCAAGGCCACGACTTGAATATTATCGGCCTGACTTTATTTTGTACCGAAGAACCAAGTAGGTGGCGAGTCGCAGGATGAAGAAGAAAATCCCCAGTATGATGAAGTCCATGTAAAGCTTGGCATCTTCTACATCCAACAACTGCAGCACTTCTTCAGGTCTTTGGAACTTGCAAACCCTCCCTGGACATTCAAGCTCAGTTCGGTTCATCCCATAAATGGACAAAATCACCCCCTCAAACCCATACCTTTCAGAAACACAATCAAACAAGCATGAAAATCTGATATTTGCCTAGTAAATGTATATATAAAAATATAAATAGCATACCGGACATAGGACATGTAAGAACTCCATTGTAGGTATTCTGGAATGGTGTCAAAGTTCACGAAGAACCCAGAGAATAGTAGGACTGGAATGGCTGTAACCGGACCAACAAAAGTGGCCACCTGTGAAGAAAGTTTTCAAGGCTGTCCTGACTAGATTTTAAATTATTGTTGTAAATGTTTTAGTCGCAGTCTGGAGCCCTTCTAAGCGAGATGATAGCTGTAACATGTACCTGAAGGGATGTGGAGGCAGCACCGACTAGAAGTCCAAGAGACTGGGCTACTAAAGCTGTACAGATCGACAAAGCCAAAAACAGCAAGTAGCGGCTTGCCTCTGGAGGCTGTTCAGTCATCCAGTACACAATACTGCAGTACATGATGGGACAAAGGACCTGAGGAAGAGTGGACAACCCCATGACAATATCAAATATAAGAATTACAGAAGTCCTTGGTTTTCTTTGTCTTAGATCCACTATACTAAACTTTCGACACTTTTCAAATATGCTCAGCTCATATCATGCATAAAATGGAGTCAGTAAGACTTAGGCAGGCAGGCACCCACCTGGAATGGAATGTCAGCCATTGTCTTAGCCAGATAGTAAGCCTTCAGGCTGTACCAGTAGTTTAGATGTTCCCTCAGAAACACAGCCATCTCTAGGGGAACTGAACAGGACAGAGAATCTATGAATCTAAAAACCACTTTCACTTCCTCTGAATGAATATAGGACATGACTTTAGACCCAAATCTGTGTTACATGTGTTGATAGTAAAACTGTGACATGACATTCTTACATGCCTCTTCACTAACTTACAGGTAAGAACTGTAGGCATCAGCGCTCCAAACATGAGAAAGAGCATTGAGAAGAAGAGGAAACCAGTGTTGTTGAAGACTTTGCTGGCATCATTGCCAATGTTGAGGTACAGCAGGCCTATCAGCACTCCAATGGAGATGTGTGACATTAGCCGCAGGTGTGTCAAAACCTAGTGCAAAAAACAAGAACCATTTTAAACTATTCTGCAAAAGTAAAACGCAGTAGCTATATATATATATATATATATATATACAGTATATATATTAGATCAATCAAAATTGGTCAGTTTCAGTATTGGTATAGTTACTCTGATTTGTCTTCGTAAAGCAGTATTGTGTCACAAAACTGAAATTAGGAAAGTTTAGGACTGAGATACCAGATATCAACTAAATGAAACAACAGTGTACCTGGTCTCTGCATACTGTAATAAATGTTCTCTTGAAGAGAATGCAGAACTGAGTCAGAGAGCTTGTTGCAAAAGTATGGCTCTCAACATGCCCTGAATCCTGTAAAAGCAAGTGTAGGAAAGCAAAATGAGTCATTAGAAAAATTAAATAAATATAAAAGATTATGTTAAAGCATGAACCATCTGCCCCAGACAGCCATCACTATTTAAAGCAAGTGTCAGTGACACTACATGTACTCTTGTGCCAAGTACAGGCTTGTAATTATCTTTTATATAATCATGTCTTTGGCAGTCAGCTGTCATCAAAAGACTAAGAAGACAGTTACATCAGTATATTTTGAGCTGAAGGAGGCTTTTGAACACAGTGGATCAGTTCGTCTAGCAAACATCCTGACCACAATTTATGCAAGTAAGCATTTCAGATGTTATCCACAGCATCACTCACTTTGACACATTTTGCAGTGCATGGGGTTACTGTGGTTTTGTCGACACAGTTGCACTTTTGCTCCAAAGCACACATGCCACCCTGAACAGCCTCAAACAACACTGGGTTCAAGTCCCCGTACTCTCCTGACACTACTTCAATGACTAAACACAAAACAGAGGAGAAATGTAAGATGCATGATATATTGGTGCCAAATTGATTATTGGTTATTGATTTTTTTTGTAATGTATATAGACAGTTATTTTTTTTTCAAAATCACATTAAAAACAGTAATAATGTGAAATCTTATTACAATTTAAAATATGTTCTATATTAATCTTAATATCAATGTTGAAAACAGTTGCTGCTTTTTTTTTTTTTAAAGAAACTGTAATACATTTTTTTCAGGATCCTTTGATAAATAGAAAATGTTTAAAAGAACAGCATTTATTTGAAACAGAAATCTTTTGCATTAAAGTAAAAAAAAATGTACTGTCACTTTTGATCAATTAATACCATCCTTGATGAATAACAGTATTAATTACTTTGAAAATAACTTACTGCCCCAATATATGAATATGTAAGTATAAGTATTTACTGTATAAAACACAACTTACTGAAATCTGCAGGATTGTGGTATGTGGGACAGTGAAGACCCAGTCCTCTCAAATAAGGGATGAGGTATGGGACACTTCCCTTGTATATGCACTGGCCTTGGCTTAAAATATACAGCTGTGAAGGAGACCCAGAAGGAATCAAATGATGACTGAAATGATTTGAAGATTTCCAAAAAGATTTGCACATGTCTTTGTACCTTATCAAACATCTCGAATAGTTTGGCACTGGGCTGGTGAATAGTGCAAATGATAGTTCGCCCTCCTTGTGCCAGAGACTTCATCAATGACACTACCTGGAAACAGGATGCACTATCCAAACCACTGAAATCAAAAAGCAACAAAAAATATACAGTATATTTTAATGTTACAAGCATCTAAATAATGCTGTTTTATTTGTGTCTAAATACGATAACATTATTACCTGGTGGGCTCATCAAAAAATATGACTGGGGGGTTGTTTACTAGTTCAAGGGCAATAGCCAACCTCTTACTCTGCCCCCCAGAGAGAGACACAGTACGAGTGTGGACACACTCATGCAGTCCCAGGGCTGTCAGAATTTCTTTTATCTGCATGCCAATATAAACACACAGAAAGGAGGTGATATTTCAGAAGGACATACATTTGGGGCAAGTCTGAATGGGGTGATGAGCTTTACCTACCAGCTCTTTTTTCACCTCTGTGTCTTCATTGAGCTTTAAAATTTATTTTTGTGTATTTTTATAAATCATTTTATAAATAACTTTTTATAAATACAAAATTGTCTTAACAAATTTAATAAAACAGAAACGTAGCATGTTTTTTGCCACTTCTGTTGATGGTGTCTTATGATTATGATAATGTCTTATAATGACAAAACCCCCACCTTAAGGTCTGTTTCAAATTAATGAGGTCAAAACTACAAGTCATGCACTATTTAGGACCGTTGAGTTAAATGAGAATGACAAAATATGGTTACCTTAATCAAAATGTGTAAAATATGATCTCCTGACCTTGTTTCTTCCACCACGGTCCTTCTCTGATGGTGCAGGACAGGTCTCTGAACTCCAGGTCCACAGCAGTGCGTTTGGGCAGGTGAGAGAAGCGCTGCGCCTCTGTGATACGGTTCTCCACCTTCTTCAGATGGGTTAGCAATGGAGCTTCCTGGAGCTGTGTTCCTCCATTACACAGGCTGTCCTCCATAGTAATACTAACTGACCCTAGATCAGATGTCTTCACTGCCATTCCAAAGGTCTAAAGAGAGCAAAAATCCTTCAGTGCTGTGACCATACACTACCGGTCAAAAGTTTTGAATAATTAAGGTTTTTTAATTTTATTAAAAGATGTCTCTTATTCTCACCAAAGCTGCATTTATTTGATCAAAAATACAGTAATATTGTGAAATATTATTACAATTTAAAATAACTGTTTTCTATTTTAATATATTTTTAAATAATTTCTTCCTGTGATGGCAAAGCTGAATTTTCAGCATCATTACTCCAGTCTTCAGTGTCACATGATCCTTCAGAAATCATTCTAATATGCTGATTTGGTGCTCAATTTTTATCAATTATTCTTGGTCCTCAATTAATAATAATGCTTCTTATTATTATCAATGTTGAAAAAAGTTTATCCTGCTTAATAGTTTTGTGGAAACCGTGATAGATTTTTTTTTGTCAGAATTCTTTAATAAATAGAAAGTTCAAAATAACAGCATCTATTTGAAATATAAACATTTTATGACATTATCATTGCCTTTACTGTCACTTTTGATCAATTTAATGCTGGATAATTTTTTTTTTTTTTTTTAAAGTTTTTTTTTCTTTTTTTAATGTAGGCCTATTTGTTTCAAACTGAATGGTAATGTATCATCATTTCCACCAAAATATTAAGGAAGAAATAATAATAAGAAAGAAAGTTTCTTGAGCACAAAATCAGCATATTAGAATGATTTCTGAAGGATCATGTGACACTGAAGACTGGAGTAATGATGCAGAAAATTCAGCTTTGCCAAAGAAATGCCATGAGTCATCATATGGTAGGCTACATCACTATACATTCAAAATGAGAAATCTTCAGTGGGAGCGTCTTCCTATAATTTCCCCTTGAAACACAAACCTCTTTACACTTTCTGCTCATTCAGGAGAGGCCCCTACTCTGTCAAATTGATCTGGTTTTGAATTTCCTCAGAGAGACTGCATTGTGCTGACACATTGAATTGGCTGGCAAGATGTAAGTCCCAGGAGTTTGGAGCCAAAAGGAAGAACGAAATCAGAGAATGTGAATAGCCAGGTCAGAGAGAGACATCACAGGCTCAGTCCCACAGAGAACACTAGCGAGGAGGGGATCGCTCTAGTGTTCACATGAGAATTAGTAGATTGTGCTGCTGTGTGGAGACAGACTGTACAATGGAAATCTTGTTGGAATGTATTGTAACCAGTGAAACATAATCAGAATTTCTCACAGACATATGGGTAGAACAAATGATCACCACTCCTGTGATATACAAGTGTTACATAACACACATCCATAAACATGTTACATAGAGTTTGTATCAGAAAATTGGAATTTGGATTGTGAAAATAGTATTTAGTGTGTATTCACTAATTTTGTGAACATTTCTTTTTATTAACCCTTTGAATGGTAAATATATTGTTATTATGGAAAAAACAAAGAATTCTAAAAGATATGAAATTGTACTAAAGAAAAGAAGCTCTCATTTATTAGAAAACAGTAATGTATTATTTTGTGCCTGCCTTTTAAGGGTTAATAAAATTATTGCACCCAAAAAAAAGAAAAAGTTTTAACTGGCCACTATAGAGAATCAAGAGATTTGGCTTTGTGGTCTTTATGCCATGTATGTAGGCTAATCTACAAGAATTAGTCGTTTTATCTCTCTTAATACCATGCACATATATTACAGACCACATACATATTTTAAAATATATGATATGATATATATTACATTATTACTTGTATTAAATAATAAAGAAAACCTTATTGAGGTTATCAAGCCCTCTTAAGACACTAGTATAGTAATTTTGGCATTGCATAATATAGCATAAAATAGTAATATGATTAAAATATAATAGGATAAAAGAAGAATACCATAAATATATAAAATACATTATCAGACGCAATGTTATGGTTATAAGTCTCACAGATGATAAAACAAGAATTTTAAAGTTATGTTACTGCTGAGAATTAACTGCAAAGACTGGAAACCAAATTCTTGGAATCACTTACCCAGACTCACACTCGAGAGGAAATATTAAGTGTTGAATAATAAGTGTTGAAATGTAGGTCACTTTTCTCTTTACAATAGGTAACAGAAAACAGGTTCTGTGCCACTGGTAATCCCGTACAGAAATGAATGAAAAACTAGTCCTGAAGGAGAGTTTCTTGGCGAAGTGTGACGCAAAACCGGACGGACAGAAAAGCAGCCCGAGCATCATGACGCTCCAACGTCACGTGCACTCTCTCCCATGGAAACGGAAACAAAAAATTACTTTCGATAATTATTATATGAGAGCATTATTTAGTTCTTAGTTTATCATTTATTAAATGTTTAGATTATGTTTTATACATTTAAAAATAATAATATAAAAATGTGTGTGTCGCCCAAATATGTACGTGTTTTTGAAATGCATGTTTGTTCACTAAAGCAGGTATGAGATTATAGACTTCTGTGGACAGCGTGGTATGTCATTTCCTATGAAAATGAGTGGACGCGATGGCAACATGCCACAACTGGTTGCCAGAAGAAGCCACACGCTAATAAAGCGAGTTCACCCCCAGAACAAGAGCACATCTGGACGAGTCTAAGCTTGACATCTGTGAGTCCTGCACTGTCTACATGTCACCTGGTACCTGTAATATGTATATATATGAAACATCAATCTTGAAAAGTATGTGTCTGTAATAAATAAAACTGATAATAAATCTTTAAAAATACATTTTTTTATGTTGAGTTCAGAGCAGGGTTGCCAGGTCCAAGGGGGGAAAAACTTTAATAGGAAATATTTAATTTTCTTGTTTGTGTTGTTTGGGTGATTTTAGCTAGATTTCGTTATATGTGTGTGGTGTGCATATTTATTTTATCTATATTTTATTCCTCTTCAGTCACTGAATCTGCCCCAATTCTTTCAGCACATCTTCATACAGTAAATGAAAAACAAGAACATATCTTCTGATCTCAATCAAGACCATTATTAAGCATTCATTCTCATTTCTCTTTGCTTAACTCTTCTTCTCTTCACATTAACTTGTCTTGTCTACACACAAGCAGTAATATACAATGCTAAACTCAATAAACCTGCCCTACCTGATAATGTATTAAAGGGGTCATATGATGCTATTTTAAAGATCATTATTTTGTGTATTTGGTGTAACAGAATATGTTGACATGCTTTAATGTTCAAAAAACACATTATTTTAAAAATATTGTACATTATTGTAGGTCCTATATGCCCCGCCTCTCTCAAACGCTTCGTTTTCTACAAAGTCCCTCCTTTGACAAGCGCAGTCTGCTCTGATTGGCCAGCTGACCCAGTGCATTGTGATTGGCCGAACACTAGATCGCTGGCCAATCAGAGCACACCTTGCTTTTTCAGACCGATGAGCTTTGTAAAAATCGACGTGTTTCAGAAAGGCGGGCATAGAGGAGAAACAATAATGTACAGTATGTGGAAAATAATGTGTTTTTTTAACCTTAAACCGCATAAACACATTTCATTACACCAAATACACAAAATAATGTTCTTTTTAGCAGCATCATATGACACTTTTAACTTAGTGACACCTAGTGGTATCTTACTGTCTAGGGCAAACTGTATAAAACAGAGAAAAAAAGTCAAAACCACAATTGCATCTATTCTGCTTGATTTATTTGGGACTGGAAAATACAGTTCGTATAACCAAATAACTCTGCTCTTAAAACCTCCAAACTTACTAAATGTGCTGTTTTATGTAAATGTAGATGCCTTATTTCAAAGTAATGACAAACAATATCAATGCTATCAAGTATTCAGAGTTTACACCCCTGACTTGGTAATGGCAAAAAAAAAACAAAAAAACACTCAACTAAAATGAAGAACTGAATGTATTTTATAGAATTCAATCATTTCATTACATTCTAAGAATCTTGCATATGCTCACATTGATTCAACATGGTGAGTTAAACTATGGCTGTAAAACAACCAACCAAAATAAATAAATAAAATAAAACTGTGTTTCAGAATACCAAAATAAAAGAATACTAGTTAAGTTTGATCATGTTTTATCATACAAATGCAGGCACAAGAGGGTGTTAAAATACATTTAGCCAAATAAATAAAGCAAGGACTTGTATGAATTTGAGTGGAGTGAATGAAAAGGCTCAGGCACTGCTTACAAACTCCAAATGGCATCTTCACCAGACTAGAGCTAATACACAAAGATATCTGCAGAGGTGATATTTTGAATTTCCAGGCACTGATGTTAGATTCAATTGAAAAGATTCAATGACAACATTTAACAAATGCACAAAATATATCAGTGGCAAATGTCTGAGATAGAATGAAAAACATTCTACTATCAAACTCTACATCTACGGAAAAAACAGCTGACTCAATCATACAAAAACGTTTTGTAGTGGTTCACAGGTTATTATGCTGTACACATTCACGTGTGCATATAACCAGAGTCAGTGAAGGTATAAAATGTAGATGATACTTCAAGCAGCTCAAAAAAATATACACCCCAGAATAATTCAAGTTTCAAATAAGCATGTGTTTAGATAACACACACCATCTTAAAAGGCATGATTGCGTGTTCATGGCTTAAAATGAGAGCGACATTTTTTTTATTATTAATTATACATTATTACTATGCATCATACTGCAAGGCTGTTTTAAGTAGTAACTGCAAATTGACCTGCAGTAAAAAAAAACTCCAGTAAATACAAAGAAAAGTTTTCTGTGAAAAACTAACCAATATCTTAATAACACACAAAATATAAAGGCAATAGGATGACACGATAACACTTGTTGACACTGAAATCTATAAAAATACTTCTGGAAGGGGTGGTTGGTCTTCAGCTACAAATATGGACTATTATATACCTATCGCACATCATTAAGCTGTCTGGCTACAGTCAGTATCTCTTTGGCCCCTTTGCTGAGCAGCAGATTTCAGAGGTCCACTCCTAACTTCACTGCGGCGTCCTGGGCTGCTTCTGACACCTTTAAAGCAGTGATGCCCACACGCTGGACCTTCTCATCAACCTTCTCCTGTTCCTCAGCCTGGGAATAATGAGGTTACAGATGCTCAAATAAGTGTAAAATTCAACGAAGGATTCAGAATATTGGAATTTTTATCTATATTGTAGTGGATTAACAACCTGATTGTCAGAGCTGATGCTTGTCTGCATGGTCTCCTTCAGACTGTCTGAACCATCGAGACTGTACACCGCTCCAGTCAGGTAGAGCTGTGAATTCTTAACTTCAGTGTAAACAGCAACTGGAACACTGCATCCCCCTTCCTGTTAAAAAAAATCTAGTTTAAAACATATGCAAAGTTCTTAGAAATGCATTCTTTGTATTCATGTTGGTTTTAAAAAAGGTTTGCCAGAAAAGGTTCTATTTAATGTCTTAGAAATTGTCATGTGGTGTAAACATCAAGTAAAATGTAATTAATTTTCATATTTTTAAAAAGTCTTTCACTTATTATTAAATATTTACACTACCGTTTAAAAGTTTGGGTTTAGTCAGAAATATATATATTTATTATTTTTTTAATTATAATTATTATTTTTTTTGCAAAAACATCAAATTGATTATAAGTGACAGTAAAGCCATTTATAATGTTACAAAAAATTTCACATTTCACATAAATGCTGTTCTTTCTATTATTGGGGGGGGGGAAATGTATCACAGATACAAAAATATTAAGCAGCACAGCTGTTTTCAACACTGATAATAATAAGAAATGTTTCTTTAGCACCAAATAAGCATATTAGAATGATTTCTGAAGGATCATGTGACACTGAAGACTGGAGTAATGATGCAGAAAATTTAGCTTTGCCATCACAGCAATAAACTACATTTTAAAATATATTAAAATAAATAACATTTATTTTAAGTTGCAATAATATTTCACAATATTACTGTTTTAACTGTATTTTTTTATCAAACAAATGTAGCCTTGGTTAGCATAAGATAACTTCTTTCAAAAACAAACTTTGGAACCACAGTGTATTTATATATTATTATTTAATTCAAATATTAAAACATTAAAACACATATTAAAGCATCATGTCATTGATCCAGAAACAGGTGTGAGGGGTGTTACAGTGCAGCAAGATGCCTACCAGGTGTTTGAGAAAGGCTCTCTCCGCGATGCATCTCAACACAGTGTCCGAGTCATTTAATACTGACACCATTTCCAGGATGTCCTGGTCTCGAGCTCTCACTTCGACTGCCAGAGCGCCCTTTAACAAGACAGTAAGAGCAGCATGTAAGGTTCAATGGGATGAAACAAATGCACTCACTGCTGTGTAGGAGATCTGGACGAAAGCAACACTGAATGTTGAACCCACCTGTCCAACTGCATACATGCAGTCATCAGGCCCAAGGATCTGAAGCAAGATGATAACAACAGAGGTCAATATTAATCGATTAAATGATACAATAATCTTTAGTTTTGCATTGTATTTGAATTTAAGGTTCATTGAAGTAAAACAGAGGTACCTGGCTGATGCGATTCTCCCAGCCCATTCTCCGAAGACCTGCTGCTGCTAAAATTATGGCTGAAAAGTCATCCTTTTCATCCAGCTTCTTTAGACGAGTGTTGAGATTACCTCTCTGAAACACAACTGTTAAGGTATAACCTCAAAACATCAAGTGCTTGTTAATACACTGAAATTATCATTTACTTATTATCTGTATCTACGTACAATTACAGGAAAAGTAAAAAACAAAACAAAAAAACAGCTACAGCACTGCACTGAAAGATACAATGTCTTTAAACTCCAGATGGGGAAATCTTTTCTTTAGTTGTGCGGCCCGGCGAAGAGAACTGGTACCTACAACACTTCAAATATAAAATATATTATTTATTTTTCAATAAAACACATATCCTGCAAATATTTACTTTACAAAAATTTAAAAACATATCACTACCATTAAAAATTTGGGGGTTGGTAAGATTTTTGAATGTTTTTCAAAGAAGTCTTTTATGCTTACCAAGACTGCTTTTATTAGAACAAAAATACAGTGTAAACAGTAATATTGTGAAATATTATTACAATTTCAAATAACTGTTTTCTATAAGAATACATTGTAAAATGTAATTTATTTCTGATATGCAAAGCTGAATTTTCAGCAGCAATTACTCCAGTCTTCATTGTCACATGATTCTTCAGAAATTATTCTAATATGCTGATTTGCTGCTCAAGAAGCATTTCTTAATAATATCAACGTTGAATGTTGATTGTTTGATAAACAGAAATCTCAAAAGAACAGCATTTATTTGAAACAAATCTTTTGTAACATTATAAATGTAAATTATCACTTTTGATCAATTTAATGTGTCCTGGCTGAATGAAAGGATCAATTTCTTTTAAATGGTAGTGAACTTTAATATATTTAAAATATAGTTCTTTGTACTGGCCACCAATTTTACCTCTTTTTGGCTAGAGATTCTAGAAATTTGCCTTTATGTTTGGGGTGCAAAACAACAGCATCGTGGGGGTTTTCTCGCCTTTGAAGAGAAGGAAATGTCAATCATAATGTTGACCACATATTAAAAAGGATTTGCGATGAGCAATACACTATATCAGTTTTTTCCATACACGTTAATAATTATTTATGAACATTTAGGTTGAAGTTCATCTGTAACATGACATGTCAGTTACTTTTAAGATAAAAGACTCTTCAGGTGGGGGAAGTCGTGGCCTAATGGTTAGAGAGTCGGGACTCGTAACCCAAAGGTTGCGGGTTCGAGTCTCGTACCGGCAGGGATTGTAGGTGGGGGGAGTGAATGTACAGCGCTCTCTCCCACCTTCAGTACCCCGAATGAGGTGCCCTTGAGCAAGGCACCGAACCCTCAACTGCTCCCCGGGCGCCGCAGCAAAAATGGCTGCCCACTGCTCCGGGTGTGTGTTCACGGTGTGTGTGTTCACTGCTGTGTGTGTGCACTTTGGATGGGATAAATGCAGAGCACTAATTCCGAGTATATACTTGGCCACGTCACGTCACTTTTTTTCACTTTCAGATGTGGAGGGGCATATAAGCACTACACTACTGTGATTCACTTACTTCAGCACAGATCCTATAGTGAAGCCTTCAGGAAGAACAGTTGGCAAGTCTTTCAAAGAGTGCACGACCAGGTCCACCCTATAGAGACACAAATATTACAACAGCATTATTCATACTGAAACATAAGCACCAGTGTAGCAGTGCAAACCTCTGAAACATCAAATGCACCAAAAGACCAATGAACAAATCTTGTTCATCAACAAATCTGTATGCAGTGCGAAGTATACATGAATGATATAAAGAAGGAATGACTCACTCATTTTTTTCCAAAGCATTTTCCAGTTCTTTTGTGAAGAGACTCTTTTCACCAATCTTTAACACAAATATATACAGTATATATATTAACGTTTACAAAACGAATTAATTATTACATCAATATAATATAACTGAATAATCTACTTTAATTTTTTTTGGACTTACTTTGGATAAAGCTGTGTCAAGAATTTTATCTCCTGTTGTTGACATAGCCACTGAAACAAAATAAAAAGATTGAAGTGGAATTTAGTTTAAAGGCAGAGTAAGTGATTTCTGGTAGCCAATGTTGATATTTGAAATCACCAAAACAAACACGCCCCTACCCCAAAAGGGTCTTGCCCCTATTTTCTTTAAGGAGAGTGAATATTAACTACATCATACTTGCTAAACTCAATTACAAATAAACAACAACTGTTTTGCATATTCGACAATGATTTCTTACCTACTTCAAAATGAACATCAGGGTGTAACTCCTTGAGTTTCTCTACAACACTGTCTGTCTGAATCCGAGCCAGCTGAAAAAAAGGGAGAAAGGTAACAAAAAGTTTCAACAATATTCCATTTCCCACAAAATATGATGGTCCTTTAAGGCTAATCTTCTTGTTTAGGGCTTCAACTGGTTTCTTTACTAAAACTAATCAATCTTGTGCGCACCCTAACAAAGACAGAAATCTTATCAAAGCCATCACCACCGCTGACACACCCAATCAAACTTACAAACCTACATTTGCCTATGTGACTCTAGTACTACTAAGTGATGATGAGGCAAAATATATATAGGCAATGTTTTTACTTTTACTTTCCATACTATAATTAATGTCTATTAGACTTTAGTTATAGAATGAAAAGTAAAAACGTATTTTAGAAAACGTGAGAAGGTAATTAAGACACACTGGTATTTTAAACACATGGATGATTCCAATGACAAGCAGTCATAAAAACTGTGAAACGTGTGCATTTCAATTTCCCCAATTTATCAGGTGATGAATATGATTCGATATTTAAGCAATATTTTAGATGATCTCGTTTGTATGTACACTACAGTTTAAAAGTTTGGGATCAGTGATCATTTTTTAAAGAATTAATACCTTAATTTAGCAAGGATGCATGAAATTAATCAAAAGAACCAGTAAAGACATTTATAATGCAAAAGATTTCTATTTTAAATAAATGCTTTTTTCTTCCTTTTTTAGTATTGTCAAAGAATCCTGAAAAAGAAATTGTGGTACAATTTCCAGAAAAACATTTAGCAGCACAACTGTTTTCAACATTGATAATAATAAGAAATATGTTTTTAGTACCAGCATATTAGAATGATTTCTGTAAAGATCATGTGACCCTTAGGACTGGAGTAAATGGCTGCTGAAAATTCAGCTTCGCAGTCACAGAAAGACATTTTAAATATATTAAAATATATTTAAAAAAATTTAAATTAATATGTATGGAATGTGATTTTTTTTTTAAATAGACCATGTACAATGAATGTGCATATGATAATTTACCTGGCTTTTTCTGGTGCCAACACGGATCACCCTGCTGACTTTGCCATCAGCATCCTGTAAAAGATGACAATATTTTTTTTAAATATATTAAAATATATTAAAAAAAATTTAAATTAATATGTATGGAATGTGATTTTTTTTTTTAAATAGACCATGTACAATGAATGTGCATATGATAATTTACCTGGCTTTTTCTGGTGCCAACACGGATCACCCTGCTGACTTTGCCATCAGCATCCTGTAAAAGATGACAATATTTTTTATGCAAAGATCAGTACCAACAAAAATAACACAGACTAATATGTTAATTTGGATTACATTCTGACCCTAATGTATTTATAAGGTCCATCTGCCATAGTTGTAGTGAAATTAACTGGAGTCTTCAGAGGAACAGAGAGCAGTGTACAAGAACATGAAGCAGGACAGGACAGACTGATGAGCCAGTGCCCCAGTGTCCTGGCTTCAGTAGATAAGACAATAATGCCTATTCACTGCGTCCGTTACACACGAGGGAGGAGTAAAGAACACCATTCATATAGAGAGATTTCATATGCGAGAATATTACACTAAAACTTTTTGGGTAAAGATGATTCAGATGTAACTTCTTATTAACCACTAGACCTAAGCCAAAATAACATTATCAATTATGTCATAATCGCATAACTAACGGCGCTGCACTGTAAGGTTTACGAGTGTGGGCGAAATACATTGAATGTAAAATAAATACGGTTAAATTAGTTAGATTTGGTTTTGATTTCTCTCAAAATTACTTTTTTTACTCCAATTTTGAGTAGCGAATGAATGAAAACATACCTGTAGGTTTGTCTTTTCCGACATTTTGTAAGATGATCCAAGTTATTTACTGCTGATCTCGTTGAAATTAAAGTCATTTCTCATTCATGATTGTAAAGGAGAAAATATTGAAGTGGGACAAATGTCATTCACAACTGTTACAGGTTGAGTATAATTTCCGTAAAGTCAGAATTGCAGAATAAAGGTCCCTATGACCGTCACAAAAAAACTGCAGAATACAAAATAAACAAAAAAAACTTTTATTTTGAAGAAGCGGTTATTCTGGAGACGGAAGTTAACATGTACACACGGTAATCGCGGTATCGTTTGTGTTCTCACTTCATTCACTCATTTTATATATAAGAAATTACAGTCATCGAATGAGCACGATGGCGGAGTATGAATTATTTCACAAACAAACAATGTCTATAATGACGCTGATGACTGAAACAGTTCAAGACGAGATTCAAAAAGTTTTTGACTGTGAATGTCGTCCATTCCACACTGACATTAGTTGTGACAGAGATGCGATATTGGACATGAATAAGAACCAACGCAGACTGGTACCTTTATTTTTATTCTGCATGTATTTTGCATGTTATTTAATTATCACGTTTGCATGTTGCAATTGCATGTTATATTAATTATTATTATGAGATTGTTGTCAGTTGTGATCTGTCAGACAGCCTGTTCCTTACGTTTTTCCTTTGTGCAGTCTTATTTTAAGGTTAGGTTACATTTTATATGATTAATCAATACTTTTGTGTTTAACACTGTAATAAGTAACTATATTTCATTCTTTAGATGAAATGTTCAGCTTCATCCTGCTAGTTCGAAAACTGAACATTTTGTCCAGATGACTTAATCAGTAGTTAAAGGCACAATATGTAAGATTTTTTTATTAAAATATCCAAAAACCACTAGAACAGTGTTATATATTTTGCTGACTTGTGTACTTACATTATCCCAGATGTTTTCGAAGAATGTTTAAATCCAGAGAAATAAGCAATTTTAACTAGTGACAC